ATCTCATTAGCTAAATTATTAAAAGTAAAAACATTATATAGCAATGGATATTTTATCAGAAAATAGAAATTAAAGTATATAATAATAATAATAATACAAAAGATAAAAATATCCCTATAGTATAATAAGTCTGAGCTCACCAATGATCAAGAAGGGGGGGGGGCGTGCTTTTGAAATTAAAAGACGAGAAATAAATGCCCACTTTGCCACCCCCAGTCTAATGACGCCCGAACTGATGTGGTCCGACCGTCCAATGTAAAAACCATTACATATCATTATTTTATTCATATTATATTATTTATACAGACATACGGCCGACCAGCTGCAATTTTTGCAAATTTCGCCCGATTTGGGCACGGTTTAGAAGTGTTCAAACACCGCGGGGGGAATCGCTTGGAAATCAACAGTAATCAGAGATTCATTGCCAACGGTTAGACACAACAATAATCGTCAGCTGCAGATATAATATTATTATACACACAGGTAATCGATATTTCACCACTGCGGCGGTTGGTCGTGACACGCGGACCGTCATCGCGTTTCACATAATATACACACTCACACACGTGCACAATACAAGTACGCGTCACGCGGCGGTAGATTAAAATCTCATCGCATACGGCGATTATCCTATGGTACTCGCGAAGCTTTAGCCGTAGGTAGTAAGTTGTATAGCGGTAACAGCGCGGTATACCCAGTATAGAGTAGTGGTAACTGCGGTAGTGCGTGTCGCGGTATAATAATAATAATATTACACTGTAACGCGCGCGTGCGCGTATGAACGCGTATGGCGCGCATAATCATAATAATAATATTATATTATTGTGCGCGTCGCGATATTTATAGTCCGCGAAGGGCAAAATCGAAGGACGGGCTCGACTGCGGCGCCCGCGGACAGTCGGACCGGGATTCCCGGGCGATCGCGTTCGGCGGGTGGTTCAGATGAATTCTAAAATAATTACAAGACATCGTGTGTTTGCATTTTTCACACCGTGATACCACATACCAGTATACCACACATAGGGTGTACGCCATATAGGTATGTAATAATATGATCCGCCGAGGAGATCCCAAACTTGTATACTATTGTGACAAAATACCGGAGATCTACATATTTACCATCCACGTCTATAATGGAACTGCGCTTTACCGAATTCTATAAGTCTAAGCTATTTGACTACCCGTCGAATAACAGTAACCAATGGGTTTATTGCCACCTACAGAATATGATGCCTTTCTCATTTATATTACATGATGCGAGTGGTACCTATTTATACATTATAATATATTATTATGTTCAATGTCCATCACTTTGAAAACTACGAGTTCCTAAGTCGTTTATACATGTGCTAACTTTCAGCGCCTGCAATAGGATGTGTTCATTCCAATCTATATACCACAAGACGAAACTATAATACGTTTATGAATCATTTATATTATTATATGTATACTATTAAACTGCACCCCCTCATTTTGTTTCACTGTGAAATTTTATTATACACCTTGGTGGCCACAGACAACATCAAACTATAATAGCTTAGATTGGAAAGCTCAAATTAAAATTTAATCTTGTGGCGTAAACTTCCTAGTAACAATCTACATCATGGCTGTATCGTACATGTATAATAATACTTAAAACCAGCGAATTTGCCACAGCACAGTCTTGTGCATATTATATATTATATGTAATATGTACATTACTAAGGTAATAGCCAATATAGCTATACGCTTAACACTATAGACACTGAACACTATACACTAAAAAAGTATGTACAGTGTACGCATAGTTTGTTTTATTGTATTATAGGGGACTAGGTGCACTAGCAGGGTGTCATTACTCGACGATCGAACAAGAAAATTACTCAAAAAAAAAAAATTTCAAAACACAATTTCTCAAAACGAAATTGGGTGATTCTTCTGGACGCAGAACTCTCATTAATTTATTGATTTTTGTCTTAATGAGAAAAAAAAATTGAACACGATTTATTGTTATGTACATCGCAATGATATTATTTAGGATTTTTATAAACTTATTTTTTAAAACTATGCTCTTGAAATTTACTGTTTGATAATTAAAGGCATTTGGTGTAGGTACATACGAATCAACCTGTTTATTAAAATAATGAAATGTTTACTATGTCCGGTCTATGTATGCGTGGTGTGTCACAAGTATTTACATATGTCATATTATATGGCTAAAATATATACATTTACTACTTATCTACTCACAACCCTCTCACGTATTTCGTTACTTACAGCTGCGATGTCCGCGATGGCCGATGAGACATACAGTAGATATGCTTATTCAATTCATTAAAAATAATAAATTATTGAAAAAAAAAATGATTGCAAAAATTAACAAGCATATTGCAATGGAGACTGATTAATACACATTTTATATTATTGTAATAGTATTTTGTAACGAAACAACTTTAAGTACAAAATATACTTCAATTGTTATTTGTTGCGTATTTTCAGTACGGGACCCACACAAAACATGTCTGTTTTCACACATAATACATATTATATATATATATTGTACGATGATGATAGCATTATTATACAGAGAAACAAATAAATATCAATTTGTTACAAGGACAGTGCGCTGTCGTCGTCAGTACTCTGTATTATCATTAAGTCTATTGCTAATGTATAAAATATAATAAAATACCTATTTAATGTACCTATGGGTAAATACGAGAAAATTGAGGACTGCCACAAAGTAGGTAAGTAAGTACCTCCTATAATCTATATAACAGACAAGTGCTGCAACAATCAGAAAGGTAAAACGATTGGCCACGGAGATTTATCCACCTACTGGCTGTAGCACAGGTCCGCCACATCCAAGCAAAAAACTCGATAACATAAATTAACGCTTCGTAGTAGCTAATTACGAGAATACACACAGCAGTTAACGTGTAATGTATATAAATATAAAGCACGTACGATTGCGTCTGCAAATAAGTATAATTACAAGTTACAACATGTTTTGGATAATATATATATATACATACACAGTGTATGTATATATAATATGCGATAATGTACCGATAGTATTTATCTATTTGCAGCCCCGAGTCTATAATGATTGCGTTGCCACCAAATGTTTAGTTCTCTGTGAAAATCGACGTTAAGAGTCTCCCTCTGTTTAAAGATCTTGGCCCCTCTCCCGAAGACGTTAACAAGTAATATGAAAATAATATGAGTAGAAATATTCAATCCACGCCAAAGATTTTTTTGCCGTAAACATGACTTTAACACATTTTAATATTTCCCAAATAATTTTTATATTTTTTTCATACTATGATATACGTTACTGCCGAGTAATACAAATAAAGTATAATTTTATACAAGCAAGAAATCGAAAATACATTCTTCGAGCGTTAAATTTTCAGGTCTTCTACGTTAGGTATGAAAACATATAGGGCAAAGCACACGTACAGTCGGTAAAAATAATATTGAAAAATTGTAATGAAATTTGTGAACCAATTTATACAGGAAAATTATCATTTTTATAAAATTGTAAATTTATAATATTTAATTATTCATTAAAAAATTATTAAAGGTAATATTGGGTATCAAATAGTATATAATAACTACAAAACAATCAATGTGGATATCTCGATATGTGCTACTTTACTAAATTACATACTTTTAGTATATAGATATAGACCACTAAATAAAAGCTAAAACCTCCTACCTATATTCGAGGTGAATTATTCTTTCACCCCGTCGAATTTGCACACTAGTCGATTGTTCCATTGTCGACTTCAATAATATAATAACACTCCTCAGATATATATTATGTGAGATTATACGTGATCTATAATATGGAGGATCTATATACCTAACCACATCATAAATTCATAACCATAAATTGTGAATAAATAATAATATGTACCATCAAATAATATCCATACTGTGTTATAATGCACTGAATATTATATGTCATATGACTGTTTTATACCAAGGTCTTACTTGGAAAAACCTAAGTACAATCTACGGAACAAGTTTACTTACCACGTCCCTCGAAGAATTACAAGGAAAGTTGTTGGAACTCACCGAGTTAGGAACGATAGGGAATTTAGAATTTTCACTAGGACTCCGAAGTTATAGTCATTTGAAATTTATCATTTATCACGGAAGTCATGTCTATTCGGTTCGTGTCACGTGCAGATAAGAGATAACATTGTCGTTAGTATAAAGCCGTGGGTTCACAGCTACGTCGCCTGTCTTATGATGTGCCTTTTATCGTACTCTGAAGTCTGCCTGCAGGGGATCCCACAACTCTAAGTACTTTGGCTCCTTTGTGAGTTGGATGGAGAATCTGCCCACCAAACCTCAAATGGGGATGGAAATATTGTCACCCGTGAGTGTGATGGCGTGAGGTGGTACCTTTCAGGATTTGAAGAGGGTTACCTACACCCTTCGGGAAGTCCTAGCCAGTTAAGTATAAGACAATTCTAACTGTAAGTATAGTCGCTCCCTATGCCTACCGACTTCGGTCGCAAAACATCGCAATATCTATGGACCGTGTAAATATGTTACCACTCTTAAGTTATTATACTATGATCATAATATTATAATGTACCTATTAATCAACATGACTTAATCGGCAATCTATATGTGCACACAGTCGTATAACACTCGCCGATGGCCAATCACACTGATAAATGGTAGAGTTCTATAATTGCTATAGCTTGAAACGAAGTCAGAGCGAAAATTTGTAACTTTACCATCGTTTTTACTCTATGATATACACCTACGTGGTTCCACCGTTTTTTTTTAATTTCCCGAGGGGCGTGGTAAAGTAAACTTTATAGGTTTTCTTACTTGTACTATATTCATAATTAATTTGTTTACTAACATTGCGCAGACAACTCACGATTCGCTTAATGTCTATTTGAATGTATTATAATGATATATAGTTTAACACCTAGGACCAGGGTGGACAATAAAAATTAAATAAATAACAATAATATTCTTATGTAGGTACTCACGTAGTGTAGGTTATCAGTCTTTTGGTTGAGCATCAGGTCGACAGAATTCCAGTTGTCCACCAGAGCTTTGTTGACGCCAACGCCGTCGCCGAAACGCGGGTCCAACGCCAATGGTGACTGATTGGAAACGACCGGACCGTTGCCGGCGGGCGACGGGTTGACGTCATCTGAACACAATCCCGCATCGCCGCCGGCACTGGAGGTGGTGCTAGTGCTGCCGGTGCTGACGGTGCCTCCGCCAAACGCAGAAGAGTACCCGGAAAAGCTGTCGCCGCCACTACCAACACCAACACCTACAATCTTGCCGCAGCCGCTGTTGGTGCTACTGGTGCTACTACTGCTGGTGCTATTGCTACGGCACCGGCATCGAGCACAGTGCCTGCAGCTCTTCACCCGTGGTATGCGGTCCGAGTCTGCGGGGTACCTGTGCACGCGGCCCTCGACGTGACCCGGCCACACCGGCCGCGGTATGCAGTACTGATGCACGTCGATGACACCCTCCTTGATGGGCGACAACAGCCATGGCGCCGACGTCCTTTGCACCGGACTACCCGATGATCCGTCCGATGACGGTGGCGTCGTACCGTTCCTCAAACTCTTCGTGGCCGGCGGAGAACCCTTATTGTCCAAGCTCGAGTGGTCCGAGTGCGGTTGGCTGTCGTACCCGGAACTACCACTCTTGTTCTTCCACGTCTCATTGTTGTTGTGGTGCACGTGCTCATCATCCACATAAATAGGATTTATTCTGTAACAGCATAAACATGAAATACAATTAGATTCATCCCGTATAGCTATATTCAGTTTATTTAGTCTATTTTATGGCAAGTATTAATTTGATTTTGGGGAGCTCTATACTTACTAAATCATTTTTACTACAAAATTAAAATTAAAAATCTATGAATTAACTCTATATAGTTGAATAATAATTTAGAAATATCATCTAAAAAATAGTTGTTATGCTTAAAAATATTTAACTGCAGTCATTCTGTGTCTATAAATATTTTTTTATTACATCTGGCTAAAATTTAGTGTTACCATCTAAAATTCTACTAAATATATTTAGTAAATATTTTTTTTCATGGTATAGCATGTTATAGTGGTTTATATTAATATAACATAATAGTGTTACTATATACTATTAATTATTATACCGACTATATTATATTATACACTTCAGTCGCTCTCGACAACGATTATAATTAATTATTATCGACTTGCGTTATAATATACGATTATTCGTCAATAATTGCGATAATTATCATTATTAATAAGAAACCTGAATATTGAAATTATTTAATATCATACACACAATTTGCATGATTATCGTGTTTAATAACTAATAACTGTATAATATATTATGTTATCAGATAATCAGTTAAAATGTGAAATCGTTCATAAATCGCTTTTCATCGTGGCATAAACTTATATGTCGAGGCTCATCCTCGGAAGATTATTGTATAACATAAATATTGTACTTATTAATTTTAAATATTCAATGTTTGTGATAATTATTATTTTTATACAGAGGCGAAGTGAAAGAGAAAAGGTTATAGTTGATATGCAAAAAAAAACTGAATAGGTATAATATTAAACGTATAGAATTTAAAATCAAAATATTACTGTCTCATCTTTTGTAGGCATATTATATTGGATCTATGCCCATATGGATAGTAGGTACTTTAGTAGGTTAGGTTAACGCCTAAACGTTTATTACTAAATCTAAAAGTCCCATCCTAGTTGTGATACTCTAGAATAATTTTAAATTAATTCATCAAGACACTAATATTTAGTTTCATTTACATATATATGTATAATTATAATTAATGAATCGGTATTATACGTTATTTTAGATTTAGAGAATAGTAGGATACCATTATTTTGATTAGAATATATCATTATGTACATATATACTTACTACTTAAATCGTAAATACTAGTACGTTACCTAGTATAATGGAATACAATAATCTAATGACTAATACCTGAGTTATATTATAATATTATATATAGGTGTATGAACGGAAAGTACTTGTTAATAACTTTATGTCAATTATTCTGCACTAATAATTTTCACTTATGTTACCTTTAACAAATTATAGTTACATGTTTTTTCCGTACAACTAATATAGTTCAAAAAATAATTGAAGTTGTTTTTTAAGTGTACAATTTAGTTGAGCTACTCATTGCAACAAGACACTATAGTTATATTCAGTTATTCAAACATCAAACTTATAAAAGAAAGAAGGAATTCTTCAGAATTCGGAAGGAAGATATCAAATCAAATATGTGAGTAAATAATAAAACATTATTTTTACCAGATGATCATATGAAAAACCGTTCTTTGGGTGACATTTATATTGTCAAATGTCAATTACAAGCACGAGTGAGGTTTAGTAATTAGTAATTACTATTTACTATTTACTATAGAAAACAGGATTGACAGGTCTTGAATTAGATCAATAATAATCTGCATTTTATAATATGTAATATGACTTATTGTAGTTTGTCATATTTCACCGTCGATTGATTGAGAAATAAATCTTGAAAAACCGGGGAATTCGCTAATTCGCTTCTGCTTTATAGTAGGTCTGTGCAACTTTTCATTTGGAAGGTCATTGTAATAGTCTAATTGAAATTGTGTTTAATTTGAATTATTACAACTTTATAAACATATAAAAAACAATTCTAAAAGAATAAGCAGGGATGTGTTCAGCACCTATTTCCAAGGATAGTTTATGTCATATTAATTATATTTTATTTATATATGAACATTTCATTAAGTATAAATAATAACAATATAAGTAATTACAAAATAGTTAAAAGAATAAAAATCGATATTTTTCGTTTGAAATTTGAATATACTGGTAATTTCTTCAAACTTAAGACACTTATTGAAAAAAATGTAAACTACCTATGTATTTTCGATATTTTTAATATTTGTAAGAACGACTTTTGAGGAATCTATTATTGCAGTACATTTTCCAGCCAAGCAATATAAATAAAAAACAAATACTAGAAAATGTCAAATATCTATTAATACTTAAACAAAGAGAAAAATTATATTATTTCCAAAAAATGTTCCTATTTGGTGAAAATGTCAAGTTTTAAAGATTTTTTTTATTTGAATATCAAAAAAAAGATATGGATTTAATTGAAACCGGTGTTGCCATTAATATTTGGTTTCTCGAAGATTTTTATTAAGTTATACAATTATTAAGAACATTATTGTCATTTTTATCATATTTTATTTCGTAACTCCCAAGGTGTCAACGATCAAATGGTCTACCCGAAACCACCCAAAATGTTATAGATGTACTGCTCCAAACCAAAATGATATGCTAAAATTGTATTCTTAAAAGACACATAATTGAAAGACGTAAGTATTATATTATCAGTGCATACATTACTCCGCTCAGAATCTAAAACAATGCAGTCTATTAAATTGTATAATTTTGTATTAGGTGCATAATTTAATGTATAATATATTCTTATTGTTAGGTATCTATTTATAAAAACATCGAAAAAGGATTTTTGATATAATCAATCATCAGTATCAGTGAATAATATTAAACAAAAAATTGAAAAACGTAAGGCACTCAAAATAATGTTTTAAAAATATTTTGTTGTACTCGTAGCTATAAAGCAACACAATTGTGTACCGAATCAACGAGCTGGTAAAGTTCTTTCGGCTGGAGAATAACAATAACTTTTTTAATAATCTGTTGCTGTAAAATATCAAACACATACCGTCAAATGCATATTGCACATATTAGTATGATATTACCTACATAGGTACAGTTCAACAGTAGTAAATAGCTGTGATAATTACGACCATTCATAATACATTGTATTATGCTCACACAACGTGGCGCGAACAAATCATGAATGAAAATAAAATTAAAGTTTTTATCTCGGAAGGTTATACTTACACGTACTATTACGCTATAACGCTATAATATTATGTACAAATACAATAAATAAATCACGCAATGCTCATTTAGGTCTATAGGACTGTAATCATCGTCGTATTTAATAGTTATAATATAGGTACATATACTTAAAATACCTAAGATAGTTGGAAATATTATGAGTGTATACATGGGATGTTTAAATAACAACGGATTGGTTAACGTTTTTCAAGGTAAAATGACTTATTTCTACATTTTGTTTAATATGATATATAATTATCTACATAATATGAATTAACGAACAAATTAGGAGTACAATTTCGAAAATAATTAAATGTTACGAATTCCACGGTGTTTCTCATTAAAATAATTCTATGATCTTTGATTTAAAAATTCACTATTTAGTCCAGAAAAAAACAATCTTTTTTCACCTAATTAGTACGTACCAAATTAAAATTTGCAAATAATTGTTCTTATGGTCATAATATTTTCTACATCTCAAAACTTTTGTCTCATAAAATTAAAAAACCCTATAAATATCTCCAACAGTGATTTTTACGTTACCACAGTTTATGGAGATTGCTGATAATTAATATAGGTTTGTCTAAAATGTTGTAATGCAAAATGTTAGATTTGGTTATAGGTTCAATTAAGCATAATCTATCGTAACATCATCTTTCTTAAATTTCGGCCAGATAAAATTATCATAGACTGAACAACGACCTTCCCATTAGTACCTATCGTAGAATTTCTCTACACAACTTAAATTGCAATCACTATCAACTAATTCCGACTATCATCAAAATGCAATCTAAAAGACATAGTTGTAATTATTTAATTTTTTCAAGTATTTTTTTTATATTGGTTATGAAATTTTTATAACACCTAATTTGATGAGAATTTATTGTAACCTAGTCTCAATCCTCTTTTGTTGGCTATGAATTTAATAATAATAGAAAAATACATGTACATAATACTATACTTAAGTATGGTGAAATAGAAAACTACGTATATTCGCTAAAAACAAATACTGTAATGCCTATAATTTAAAAAAATGGCAGGTTATACCTATAGTTTTATATATAGTAATAATATGTAAGTTTTTATAACTGAAACGGTCAAACTTAACTAGATATGGTATTCTGTAAGTGATGTTATTATTAATAAGTAGGAATTATTATTATTATTTGTAAAGTGTACGTAATAGGTACGTATATTATATCATATAATACCTATAGGCTATAGCTAGGTACTTGTTAATAAACAATTTTTTTTTTTATTAGCTTTTTATTCAACAATTATAGGTGATAAACAATTTAGCGGTTATATTAGAAATATTAGATACTACAAAGACTCGTGTCTCTTAAAATTTGAATTGTGTATTTACCAAAAAAAAAAAATGTTAACGTGATTTGTTTTAGTTCCTGTTCGTGATTCTAAGTACGTTCTAAACGGTTCAGAACGGTGGTGTTGAATTGTACAGACATGATTCATGAACGATAAATGGAAATAAAAGAATAAAATATTATATTATATTTACTAAATATTTATATATATAATGTATACATATAGTTTATTATATTTTATATTTATATGCATTTCTCTTTCTCGTCAGACCGTATAAGGTCAGCTGGAGGAATTGCAACATGATTTCGGTCTTCTTGTGCTACGGGGAGAATAACGCACGAACAATGGGGGCCGATCACGGTGCATATCAATCGTCCGACAAATTGTCACAAAAGAGAACCGAAGGATAAGTAAGTCATGTTCACGCGAGCTGATTTTTGTTCGTGAAAATTTTTCGAAGCCGGCCGTAAATCTCGTATCGGCCCCGTGTCTTCGTGCCGAGGATATGAAGGTAAAACGATATTGTTACTTATGTATAGTATATTTAATATTTATGTATGTGTATAGGATAAGCACTGCTCGCACGCTGACACTATACATAAATAAATACGTTGCTCGTCGGATGCAGTTCACCACCACGGTGTGGTATATATAGTGACCTTGAGATGTGTGTGCGCTTATTTTATTTTTTATCTCAAATATCCAAGTACGTCCTTATTAGGTTTCTCTCGAGTCTGCTGGACCATAACCGGCAAAATACCGCATACGCCGCCGCATTAATACTCGGATGCCGTGCAGATGCAGTTGCGCCTCTCGATTTTTGGGCTCATAATTTCGGTACAATAATAGGTAACGATTATCCTCGCGTGTTCACGGAGTACACCGACCTGGATTCACAGGCCGGTTCAGAGATCACGGCTTCAGCGTTCGAATCACGGTGCCGTGGCCTACGGTTTTGTGTGCAATTTACCAAAATACCGAGTAGTATAAATGAAAAAATTTTAAGATTGTTGTACGATTCTTATAATATTTATATCAGTGCATTATGATGTCGATTCATTTAAGCGATTAATTCATTGTACCTACGAGTTATTTGTTAGTATTGTAAATTGTTGGGATACTGGATGTGCCGTGTGCGTGTTTATACATAGTAAATATACAATGATCTACCGTTCAGATAAGTTTTTCAAACAAAACGCTTAAAAAATGTGTTCATTCGAAAAATAAATACCTACAATATCGGTCATCAAATGAAAATCAACAAATTGGATCGATTTCTTCAATACTCAACAAAGTGTAAGCAAAACCGGCAAATTCAAACGGAAATCTCACTTTTCAACACTATTACTGTATCTAACAAACGCTGAATGAATATCGTCATCACTAATTTAAATGATGTGTAGAAACCAGTTTTTTTTTGCCGGCTTATAGTTATTCACGTGGGATTCACCTTCGCTCTCTAATTCTCCGATAAACCACTGTAACCAATCGGAAGCAGGAAGCCGAGATGACTATGAATACTATAGGAATAAAAAAAAAATGTAACTATACACATTTTTTGAAATAAAGATGTAAACAAATCATTAATAGTCATCGCCTAATATAAAGACCATATAGTAAAATGTTTATAAAACATATGGTTAATTTGTTGTTAGTGTTGTTACTAAGTGATTCTCACGTTAGTTATGTTTCTTAATGAGATTAATATTGAAACAATAGTTTGATGTTTTCTAAATCTCTTGTTTAAAAATTAAAATACACACGTGCTGACATTTACCTATATTGTACTTCGATGTTTAAACTTTAAATTATATGGTTATGACACGATGAGTTCTTATTGGCTATAGAAATCAGGTCTTAATTAGGAAATTGTCTCTTTGGCTTCTTATTACATTAGTACATCGTTCCATACTATATTATGAAAATATATAAACGATGAGGTGGATAATAATATGTGTCTGATGTTTTGTCTGTAGAGGTTTGGGTCCGTTTGGGTTGAGTTTGACAAATATATGGCTACGACTATAGCCATTACTTAACGCTACATGTATATTATGTCCTGTTACAATATTTTTTTTTTAAATATACCTAGTAACGGCATAGACATGTGACTTCTTGTAGTGGTTAATTGGATAAACAGTGGCCAGCGGATCGTCTGTCGGATTGGCCGGCAATTGCAGCCATTTGTGCATCTCTGAAGACACACGCACCCATTACACTTCAAATACTGCCTGTAAAATTATAAAAAGGTCGTCATGAGCTTACAACTGTTAAATATATATTATATTTATGTGTATATATATACAATATACATACATATAGAACATTTGATTAATTCATAATAATTTTGTTATACATATCTAAATAATTATGTTAAAAACTCAAAACTGATTAAAATTCTAAGGAAGCTATCCACACAAAGTTAATCTAATGTAATATATAAGACAACGCTATTTAAATATTATAAGTTACATCACATTATATATTTAATCAATGGCCGTACTGTCACTTTCGATGCACATTATACTATATCGTCTTACAAATTTCACTTTATTATTGTTCAAACTGTTAGTAAATATTACTTTTTTAAGTTTATAGTTTGTAATTCTTATAACAGTAATGACTAACTGAAATCAGAATATATGTGATTCGTGTTTCCATATTATCAAGAACACGTCTCGACAAAATGTTTATTTTTATAACTGTTGTATAATATTTTAGCCATATCAATTTTAATATCTAATACTGTATTACTTTTATGCTTTGTCTATGTTTTAATAGCCAAATAAATACTATATTAGTGTAATATTTAAATTATTTATTATTAATTAACCACCGTTACTATTTACTCAACTCACAAGCAATTTTTTATTATTAATAGTGGGGTATAATAAAATTTAATTGTAGTACCTGTATTATAACTAACGAAGATGTGCTACAATCAATTGCATATTTCAATACTTGCATCTTTGATTTTAGAATCACAAAAAAGGCGAGGAGAAACAAGTTTGGTTCATTTCAAAATATAAAACCAGATAGGTACCTAATATTATGTGGTTTTATGTTTCATAATATTATATTTCTACAGATATAGTTCCAGTTTGATTTTGCATATTATTTTTTTTTTTAGCTCATTTTATTTATATGTTTTTTAGTATAGATACACATAATGCTTATTTTTGTTACGAATTAAAAAAAATATAACTTGCAATATTTTCATTTAGAAAGTTTGAAAACGAAATCTTAAGGTAAAAACATATAAGCTTTAACTGTTGCAGTTCTAATGGATTTAACTAGAATATTTTATATTCAATTTATTAGTTAAAAGATGTGCTTCTTTATTAATTTTTTATGTATTGTGTATAAAAAAAAATTATAAGGTTCCTATTTAAAGAAAAAGAAAAGTTCAAGCAAAATAAAAAATTCTATTTTCAAATCGGATCATAAGTAACTGTCTATATATTAAAATCATATGATTATTTTGTCCTTTTTTAGATCCATTAGGTACATATAGAGAATAATCTGCCCTAGTTTTAAAACATTTATAAGTACTTTATCGAGCTTCTATTTTACTGATTATCGAAATAAATCTTTGACTTTTAAAATACCATACATAATATATATATTTTGATTGATATTATATTACTGTATAGGTATTGGTGTTTAAATACAGTACTTACCTAATATCCATATATTAAATGTATAGTATGTAGGTACCATATAGTATGATTTATATTTTAAGTTTTAATTAATATGTGTTAAATAATAGATTATTAAAACAAGTGAGTAAAAATAATTTCAAATGTGTCCTTATAAAGTCTTAAAAGGACAACCAGAAAAATGAGCTTCGATAAAACAAAATACTATTCTTGTTAATGTTAAAGGTTACTTTTAACTTGCCAAGACCAACAATAATTTTAATTTTGTCAAAATTTTGATTAGTATTGGAAAAAAAGTATGGAGCTCATCGATCCCATGGGTTTAGCTTAGCAGCAGCAGTAATAAACGTAATATGCATCGGAAACCTTGCCGAAACATACCAAAGTTCAATCAACCCAATGTCGTCCAGTAGATTCTGGCATTGTGTCATTGGACAATGATGCAAAATGAATGAAAAAAAAAATGTAATCAATTCTATTATGAAAAAAATTATTTTTACAATATATATACATACACACACACACGTCCCGAGGCATCTTCCACATGTATAGCAGCCATTAGCGGGTACAATGCACACAATACGTATTGGGCAATTATTATGAGATTGGATGTATCGTATATTATAACAATATAACTGTTTTGGGACGAACATTATATATATGAATCGCGAGCAATTATAACTGTTGCATTTCCATTTCAACAACCCCCCCGGCATCACGACGAAATACAACTGAGTCAGTCCCCATAATGGAGACACACGGATCGCGTCTTGTGCAGACGATTGATGTATCGAATTGTTACCGCCGTCGTTGTAGTTTCTATAGTCGGCTGTTTGTTTGGATATGTTTTTTTCCGTTGCGTAACTCGCATACATTATATTACGTATTGTTATAATTATGCCTAATTATTTTGATAGGTAGCTATCAGACGGTCATTATTCGTGTGGGATTATATCCGACGAGGCGTGATTACAAATTTACGAACTGTGTGCGAAAATATATCCGGCGATCGTATCGCCAATAAACTACGCCGTCAGCTCTAAAATGATTTCAGGCTGTAAATTAACGATGGATCAATCGCTGAACCAGTACATTATTAAGGCAGTAACTCTAAAAAAACGAAAAGCGATTCACACAGCGTTAAAAATTAAAACGCTCATAACACCAAAAGTATTTCACAATTTTTCAGATATCATATCATTTTTATATAAATAGGTATTCAAAAATAGTAAATACTTCACAAGTGCATTGTCAAGAATATAACTATTACCTAAAAAAATCATGTGTTTACCTAACTAAAACGGCAATGTATTTTTGAGTTATTACACCAATCTACGACTGTACAAGTACTAATAGAACGAAATGTCTAATGACGTACATTATAATTTATAATATATAATTTATGGGCCCTATGAATTTATTTTTTCTGATAGCCACATAATTACAGTATACTTAAGATTACTTATTTGCAATAATATTTTCTTTCCGTGATCTCATATAGGTATTGTATCTATATTTTACAGTTATGTAGTATAAATACCGAGAGAACAATAAAATAAGACTTGCCAAAAATGAGAGCAATTAATGTCATAATATACCAATATATAATATATAGGTGCTTTGTATTATATACAGACACCTCGCACTATGTTTAAATAATTTGCAAAAAACGAGTTTAGAAAGCGGTTAGGAGTGAACGCATATACTCAATATGTAAAATAGCAATACGATTATCTTATGTATTGACAAATAAAAACAAAATTCAATCATGTAAACCAATTATTTTGTCAAAGTGCTCATTATTGAAATAATTATTAATTGCAACTTTTTATTTGAGTAATTTTGACAACATTTTTATTGGCGAGTAAATTTAAGTATAATGAAGAGCCAGTCTATTACATTGTATGGGTGTAGGTAGGACGTAACTGTATGTGTGAATAAACAATATTAAGGTGAACGATACAACAAGGTGTTAGGTGATTTTTTAAACATACTCATCTTATTTTTATGTTTAAATCACGCATATATTAAAATTTTAAATTTTAAAATTTTCAAATACATATAAAGAACATATTTTTTAATCCTTAAGATTTTTTGTACCACTTAAGGATGATCCAGTGACAATACAAACTTCTGTTTCCAAATAAAAACCCCACTCTTTCGTTTTTTATTATAAAGCAGATATTTTTTTTGAAAATGTTGATGCATTTAAAATTTGAATCAAAATTCAACTGAGTAGTTTGAGTTATATGACTTTGTGTACTAAGAATAATATGTCTATCGTCAATGGTAATGACAAATAGGTTAAGTAGATGGAGGCTTAGACGATTTGAAAAAGTTAGTAATTAATATTGATTTATATGTATTAATAATTTGTAAGAATGGTGCAAGCATGACTAAATAAACAGTTATAATAGCCATGGATGCAAGTATATAATAAATACTACATCTAATATGCCATATAGTTTTTATTTTTATAAAATCATTTTGAGGATTATTATCCTTAGTACATTTTAACAACTCAGAAATTACTCATTAGAATTTTGACTTAGATACATCGAATCATTCGCTAAATAGCTTTTAGTAAAAAAAAAGGGTGGTTCACATTTGAAAAATAGCAGATTTTATCACCACAGGAATACTCCTTAAGTATTACAAAAAATGGTATTTATGGGTACACTCAAAAATTCTGAAAATTAAAATTTGAGTAAATCTATTATTAAAGAAAAAATAGGAGTGAGCTTCCTTAAAAATCACCCTTTAATGACTAATGCACTAAAAATGACACCATAGTCTATAATATTAATAGATGAAAAATGAGTGATATTAATATAAAAATTATATTTCTCGTCGATATCATGATATCATTAAAATATGATAATACTTTTGGATCCTATTAAGTCGGTTCGACACATAAATTAAATCTGACAAATTCAGTCTGTTAAGTTACCATGAAAAAGTAAGAATTACTTACTAGCAACTGCATACTCCTGTCTCCCCCTCCCAATGATGCCTTTGTTATAAGTAGTTTCTATATCTTCTAAGAACGTGCAAATCAATAAATCGGCAATCAAAATGTATGTAACAACAAAAATATTATAATATAATTAATTTAAATAATAATTATTGGGCAGGTCGTCACCTCTCATTTCTTACATTGTACCTACATTGTACCCTACACATTTTCGATTAAAAGATTTATGTTTGTGACGTTGCTTGAGTTTAATCTCGGAAGACTAGAAACAATTTCGAGAAATCGCAAAAACTATTGTAATACGCCTATTATATCGGTGTTGTGCGCATAGGTACATTATAATGGGTTTTGCATATTTTGTTTTCTTTGCGCGAGATGTGTGATATTAATACAATATAATATTATAATATATGAACCTGTCAAACAATTACATCACACATTATGTTATGCCGATATGTTTTTCATTTTTTTTCGACCGGACCATTCATTATTGTACATTTGGGCGGGGGTATAATGAACTGTACGGAATTTGTCACCTTCGCCAATGGCGCTCGCGTATAACATTCGACAAGCTGTTATATATTTTCTTTTTTTTTCA